TGACATTTTTTAACGTTTTATGCGACGTGCAGCAAGTGTATTTTAGCTTATGTCCCGCCGGTTCATATGTACGTGTAACCTCCGAACCAGGCAGCAGATTCGTTCTGAATGAATCTCATCCCAAATCGTCCCTCCCTAACATTTTCGTCTCGTTTTTATTCGTTGACGAAAATGTCAATAGATTTACGTCATAGTTTTTGTTATGCAAAAAGAGTTTTAGTTCGTTATCGTCTCGTTGTCGTCGGTGAAAAAAATGTCGTTGACGACAATTATGACGAAAATTATTCGTCAACGAAATTAACACTGGTAGTTACAAACAATATCTGCCATATTACTCATTTTAGGGTTCAGTATTAGCCTGGGAACAAAGCTCAGATGAATCACATAAATTACAGGGTGGCAGAATGCTCTCACAATACCATTACAAATGTGCTTTGTAGAGCTTCTTGGCATGTTAGTGCATGGCTTTTCTATCATACTGGTTGGTTTAAAATATCTGTGCGATGTATCTTTTTCTGTTACTTTTACTGAATGTGAATTGCCATTTGCAGACCATTTCACTTGTTATGTTACATATTTTTGAGTGAAAAAAAAAATATAGGACGGAACTTAATTTAATCCACTGGGAGTAGATTAGACTCATGAAGACTTGATCATGAAGACAAGCACTTTTTTCTTAATAGTTCACAATAAGACCAGAAGCATGTATCAAGGTGATTGACTCTCTTTAGTAGTTTATTGTAATAATGTTAATGGTTGTGGCTTGAGGATCAGTAATGGAGATTAATATTTTGTTCCCCATATTGGGAACTGGTTTGTGAGTATTTCCTGTAATTGCTCTTGACTTTATTCTCTTATTCCTCGTTATTAACTTAATAACTAACAACTGAATTACTCCCATACTAGTATGTCAATCAGGTACCTTAAAACCAGATGTGCCATCATGTAGAATGTAAGTTATCAATCGAAATATTGTTCAAAAGTTTGTTTGTTTTTTTAAAGAATATAAAAAAAATGTAAAGAATATAAAAATTAATATTATTTTCAGCAAGGACACATTAAATTGATCAAAAATAGCAATGATGACTTTAACATTGTTAAAAAAAATTCTGTTTCACCAAATCAATATATTAGAATGATTTCTGAAGGATCATGTGACGCTGAAGACTGGAGTAATGATTCAGCTTTCTGAAAAATGATTCAGCTTTCAGCTGTCTGAAATGTTGATTCACAGGAATAAATTACATTTTAAAGGGGTCATGAACTGCCTTTTTATTAATTTGTACTGTTCTCTGTGGTCCCCTTATAATGTTATCAAGATTTTTACATCAAAAAACATCATAAATTAGAAGTAATAGGCATAATTTAGAATTTTCTGTCCTGTTTTGACCCCCTCATCGAAACTCTGTTTGAATAGCTGTGGCGGATTGTAGAAACGCCACTGCTATGATTGGCTAACAGTTGTGTATGTTTGTCAGCCTACATCCTTCATCGATGGACGCTGCTGTGATTTAGATTAAAAACGTGTAAATAGTCAGTACATATCAAACAATATCAAGCAATAGTGACCAAGTAATAAAAACAGTTACTCACACTTGTGTGTTGCGACATTACTATCGAATCTGGTGTAGTTGGTAGGCTACAGCATCATCTTTTAGTTTCAATCTTTCTCAAAATCCTGCGTCGAATTGTGCCTTGTTTGTAAACAAATCTGCGGTAAAATGAGGTGAACAAAGGAGGACCAAGTTCTTACTGACGCGGTCTGGAACTTCATTAAAAATAAAGTTCATCAACTCTTTCCTAATGTAGGGATTAGAAGGAAGGCAATGCAGACTGTTTTTCCACATCTTGGCACTGCACAGCGTCTTGTTGTCTTCGGAGCCATCTTTAGTTTAGTTTCTGCAAAGACATGCGCGAATCGGTGGGTGGAGCTAAACAGGCAGTGATGTAGAAGCAGAGGTTGATCTTCTTTTGTGGAGGCGGTGTTTAGCCACATTGTTACATCATAAAGTGGCACATTCCACAACCTGTTGTTTTGGCAGACTGGCTTCAATATAAGCTGTTTTTAGACTAACGAGAAAGTTTTGAGTTCTGAAACTTACAGGATGTTTTTAAAGTACAATGACCTCTTATATGTCAAAAGATCAAGGGAATTTTGATTTCTCAGTTCATGACCCCTTTAAAATATATTCAAGTTGAAAACAGTTATTTTAAATTGTAACGATATTTCACAATATAAGTTTTTTTTTTTTTTATAAATTCTCTCAAAAACTAAAAAAAAAAAAAAACTGACCTCAAACTTTTGAAAGGTAGTTTATAGTGGGGTACAAATGTCTGAGACCACATTGCAAATATAGTATTGATAACTGAATTTAAAACTGGAAACAAATAAGTTTTAGGGTTTAAAAACTGTAACACAAATCTATTGTTATTATGTGAAATGAATAAGAAGTATTTATGATTCTGCAATATTAGTAGGTCATGAATCAAATAGATAATTTTGAGCCAGTGACCATGTGAACTTTTTTGTGCAGACGGTACAAAATGAAGCACAAGATGCTCTTTGGAACATCTTGGCTCCTGCCTTTGCTTTCGTCCACTGTTATTTTGTGGTAATACAACTAAATGGCTATTGATTTTTATTTTATTTTTTTTTAAAGCTGATCTTTGATATGATTCATTACTGTATGGTGCTGCTCTCATCATTGTCTCAGTGCTGCTTTATGACATTGAAGGCTTTTATGAGCTTCTGCTATCTATTTTGGACCTTAAACCTCATTCTGTAGTTTAAAGCAATAGTTCAACCCAAAATGAAACTTCTGTGATCATATACTCACCCTCATGTTGTTCCAAACATGTCTTCTTTGGAACACAAAAGGTGATTTTTCAACAATTCCATTATTTGTAGAGCAAAATAGATCAAGTAATAATTTATATAACTAATGGTCATGTAATAGTTGAACTAAAACTTGTGGAGTTTGAATTTCAAAAGATCTACTAGTACTACCCAATTTTGTAATCCTTAAGGTCTTTTCATGACTTGAATAGCATGACTCACAGTGATGCAGGCAACATCTTGTTGTTCTGTCTCCTCTCAGGTATTGTTTCAGTCTCCATCCACGTCATACCTCATTTCCTGGATCCCTTATTGAGAGATATTGTTCATTTTTCTTTATCCCGGCAGCACGCATGCTGTGGCCTGTTCATCTACATTGAATATTATCATTAAGATGTCTATTGGAGTTCTTTTTAGGGCTAATTTAAGTCCCTCTGTTCCAGATGGACCGGCATGCTGCTTGAAAATGTATCATAGATGAGTCTTCGCTGTGCAAACCGATGGTGTCATCTCTGCCTTTTGTTTGCTCAGTGATGCTGACATATTAAATAGATTTACTACAGTCATGGCCACTAATTATCATCGCTCATCCATTACAGTTATTGATTCAATGAGGTAGCTGAGTGTTTTTGTCTTTTGGGTAATGCTGTTTGAGCTGTTAACATCATCATTAGTGGCACTGAACTATTTTACATTCTTATAACTTCACATTCACTGTCAAACTTTAAACAAATAGTTTACCCAAAAATTTTAATCTGCTGAAAATTTAGATCAAGATGTAGATGAGTTTGTTTCATTGGAGCAGATTTGGAGAAATTGAGCGTTGCATCACTTGCTCACCAATGAATCCTCTGCAGTAAACGGGTGCCGTCAGAATGAGTCCAAACAGCTGATAAAAACATCACAGTAATTCACAAGTAATCCACACAACATCTTGTGAAGTGAATAGCTGCGTGTTTGTAAGAATCAAATCCATCAAGACGTTTTCAACTTCAAACCATTACTTTCACCTAAAATATAAGCCCTCTTTCCATAATGCTGCTTTCTTCATTGAAAGTCTGAATCAGGAGAGAAATATGCACAGATTAAGCACCGTTTACAAAGCAAAAAAGTCTAAAGCGAATATGTCTGTGGTAGGGATATGCCGGTATCAAATTTTCATGTTGCGATTAATTGCTGATGCTTTTATCACGGTATGCGGTATTATCACGATATTGAAATTTAGTTTTAAAAAGTGCTGTCATAATACAGTATAACAGGTTTAATAACATTTTTCTTATAACAAAAATAACTATACATTTTTCTGTATTGCTTTATTGCATTTAAATGTTCAAAGTTAAAAGTTTTACACAGATTAAAGTGCAAAAGAACTATAAAGACCAATAGGTATCACTTTACAATAAGACCTCATTAGTTAACCTTAGTTAATGCATTAACATTCACAATGAGCAATAGCTACATTTGCTACAGAAGTTATTAATCTTTGTTTAAAAAATACAAGTCTTAGTTCATGTTAGCTCATTAAATAACACAGTTGCAACTTTAGATTTTAACAACGTGTTATTAAATATTGGAATACCTAAGATTAATAAATGTTCAGAAGAATTTTTCATTGGCAGTTTGTTAACTAATGAATTAACTAATGTTAACTAATGAAGCCCTAATGTAAAGTGAGACCAAACAATAAAGAATCAAAACACTTTCAAACAATATCTAGGGCATGTTGTAGTACAGATTAAAATGTAAAAAAAGTTTGAAAATAAATAGCCTATTAAGTCTAAATATTAAGTATATTTAATAAGTATTTGGCGCTGTGATGAACATCATAGCAAATACACAAATCTGAATGGCTGTTTAAATCATTTAAACACCATTCAGAAACAGAAAGTAGTGCAGCTGCTTTGTTTACAGGGTTTCCGGGGTAAAGGCTGCATTTAAATGAATTATTATATTATTATTATTATAATTTCTGCAGTTTTATCGCCATCTGCTGTCAGAGAGTGAAAGTGCGCTTTCATCCAGAGCGTCTCTCACATGTTCCGCCATGTGCTTCTCGTCCGCGCTTGTTTACATCAGAGTGCAGAGTCTTTCACGCAGCATACAGCGGTGTTGTGCATTTTGACCAGTTGATGGGAAAAGTATTCTTAAAATGCATTCAAAATTCTGAATAATTTGTAATATATAATTATTCACGGTATTTAGAAGTGCCCACAATAACAATATCATGCATATTCATTACCGTGATATATCGCATTACCGAATACCGGCACAAGTCTAGTCTGTGGATTCTGATGTGAGAGGACAACAGGTTATTTAGCCTACTTTTTCACTGTAGGAAATGGACTAGTCGTTTGGCCAGAAGTTAAAAACCTCTTAATAGCAGATTTGTCTCTTAGACGCAGTAACACGCATCTTTTCACTTCACAAGATGTTAATTGATGGACTGGAGGGGTGTGAATTACTTGTGAATTATTGTGATGTTTTTATCAGCTGTTTGGACTCTCATTCTGACGGCACCCATTCACTGCAGACAGAGAATCTGGTGAGCTTTGGTGATCTCCAAATCTGCTCCCATGAACAAACAAATTCATCAAAATTTCAGCAAATTTTCATCATTGTCACTTTAAATTCTTATAACTTAATATTCACATAAAAACGCTGGTGTCCATTTCTATAAAGGACCAAATCTTAGTTATACTTGACTGGCAGGAAGAAACTTAGTCTTCAAAAAATCAGCAAAAAATAATAATTTTGAAAGTATCCCTCTCTATTTCTAAAAGGATGCAGCTCCAGTATTTTTCAGCGAAAAAGGAAGTCAAAGCAGAAATCCAGGAAACCATCTGACATTTTGTCCTGATTACTTTATTTACATGTCTCCCTTACGAGGGGAAACTTTAGAGGCATCATACTGTAGCACAAACAGATGTCAGCTGAAACTCTTTGACCTGCTCGGTTCACCGATATATATCCTTGATGGGAGGAAATGAAGATATTTCCCGCGGTGAAGCTCCTCTTTGAGGTTGTCGGGTTCAAATATCTTCATGCAAACAGCATTTGACATTCCCTATGTTTTCATTTACCTGGCATTTAACAGCTGTCAGACTACCAAAACAAATGCAGTATACAGAGATCTCCAAAATAAAATTTTAGTTTTTAAGAGAAGTAGAACTTTTTAATGGCATGTTCTGACAGTTTTATCTAATTGAAAGGTTGTTGCATTCACACAAAATTATATGGAAGTTTAGGATTGAGAATGCTCTTGAAAGTCTCTTATGCTTACCAAGGCTGCATTTATTTGATACAAAATACAGCAAAAAACGTAATATTGTGAAATATTTTTTACAATTTATAATAACTGTTTTTTTTAGTGTAATATATTTTAAAATGTAATTTATTCCTGTGATGCAAAGGTGAATTTTCAGCATTATTACTCCAGTCCTCAGTGTCACATGATCCTTCAGAATTCACTGAATTTCCTACTACTTGTTTCACTTCTGTTTCAATTTTTTTTTTATAACCATTTCTTACTATGTGTCAGTAAGTTGTTGTTATTTTAGCATGTGTGTTTGGCTCAGTGTTATTTTTTTAGGATTACTGATAAACTAATGTAGTTTGATTTGTATTAGTTATCTATTTTAGTTTTAGTTACAGTTGTAGTAATGTTGTCATTTTATTAGTTTTTTATTATGTCTATATAGGCTTTTTAAGTTTTACTTTTATTTAATTTGAGTTATTTCAGTACTTCAACAAATACAAATGGAACTTTTAGTTTTAATTACTTTTTCTTATTTGTAAGTCGCTTTGGATAAAAGCGTCTGCTAAATGACTAAAAGTAAAAGTAAAGTAAAAATAAATTCATTCTAATATGCTGATTTGCTGCTCATGATTTTTTTATTATCATCAATGTTGAAAATAATTGTGCTGCTATTTTTGTGGAATTGGTACTAAATTTTTTTTTCAGATTTTTTAATAAATAGAATGCTCAGAACAACTTTAATTTGAAACCGAAATCTTTTGTAAAATTATAAATGTCTTCACTTTCAATTTTGATTATTATAATGTGTCCTTGAGCACAAAAAAATATTTTCTTTAAAAAAAATCTTACAGACCCCAAACTTTTGAACAGTAGTATATTTGTCTTTACTAATCTTTTTTCCCCCCATCTGTCTCCAGCACACATCACACACGGATGGGCGGAATGAAGTGGCGTCCCGTCCAGGGCGGTCAGGTGTCCGCTGTCGGAACTCCATCGCCTCCTGTGCCGATGAACAGCCACATATCGGCAACTACCGGCTCCTCAAAACCATCGGCAAGGGCAACTTTGCCAAGGTCAAATTGGCACGACACATTCTCACAGGACGAGAGGTGAGCTTCATGAAGATCTCAATTGAGAACTTTTGGATATATATATTTATACAGTATATATATATATATATATAGAGCACAGTTTTGCTTTTTTATAACTTTTTTGTATGATAAAATTTTTTGCAGTTAACCACATTTTCTACATACAAATAATGCCATTATGCAAAAAAAAAAAAACTTAATGGTCCTTAAAATATCTGTAAAATATCAATATTATAAGTAAATTATTATAAATAAATAGTATTTTTTTTATTTAGGAATGAAATACGACCCAGACTTGTTCCCAAATGCTTTAGTGAGATTCACTCTGATGTTGAGTTGAGCTGCGGAGATAAAATCATAATATTGAGGCTCTTTTACTGGCTACTCGTCAGACTTCATTGAACAAGGCAGTGAAATTTATTTTTTCCTCTTCTCTTTTTTCCTGTAGGTGGCCATAAAAATAATTGATAAGACGCAACTTAATCCTACCAGCCTTCAAAAGGTAAACATTTCAGGATTACTGTTGAGCTATAAAAACCAGTCCTTCTCATTCTCAATCTCCCCCAGCCTTCTCTCTTTTAACTGGTTTAAGGATAAGAGTGTGCGAGAATGGAATCCCCCTTTTGTCCTTCCAGAGCGAATTAAACATTAACCACATATTATGTAGATAGCATGACTGTATTTCTTTGCAAGGGACAGTTGCTTTTGGACCGCTTTCTTTTTATTGCCTATTTTTAAAATCCCTGTTGTTATCTTTTCGATTTGACATTAGTTGACACATTTGTTTTCATCAGCACAAGATGCAGACCAAAAATCAAAGGGACTTCTGTTCAGAGTGGTGCATGATGGTAGAGCGGTAGCTGATGGAGGGAACCCTCTGTGGACTTGGATTTCAGAGGCAGCTAATAATAGCAGGAGCCGAGAAATCAGAAGGAGAGGCTCGAATAATAACTACACGTATGCAGAGTGGAAAGCAGAGCGCTTAGATGGAACTCTTTGCTTAGCTTGAGTCTCCTGGAGTTTGTGACCGGTGTGTTTTTTACCTCCAGATGGACCGTATAGATCACATTGTCACATTGAGGCCAATGTGAGGTGTTGATGTTCTCTTCCACTGGCTGCCTTTTCCCTATAATTAGCCGGCACTTGTTTTTCCAGGCCATTGATTTAGGCCGTTTTCCATTTGTGAGCCGAATGACAGCCCATGGCTTAGGTTGTGTCTCTGGAGCGGAGGTGGTGATCTGTTTGGGGCATAAGGGGCAAAGACTGGGTGCGATCGAGCCCCAGTATGTATTTCCAATTAAGATGTCATGTCCTCAATAACCTGAGGTTGATTAATGAAGGTCTGTTGGTTAGTATTGAAAAGCATCTGTCATTGTTTGGTTTGCTTTTCATGGCATTCTTGATTGAAGGCATGAACGGAGTAACTCATTTGCAAAGTTTCCTTTAAAGTGATTGTGGAACAGAAAATTTAGACAAGATGGGTTGGCAAATGAATTGGTAGATGTTGTTTTTAAAGTGGCTGAATGTTATGGCTGATACAGATGTATAAATACTAATGTAGCCGGTGACATATAAGACCAAGATATATATGCATGGTATTATATTTAATTTCCACACATTTGTTTCAGTTATATTATATTTTGTTTATATATATATTTTTTAAATAATGACAAATTTATTTAAAAATAATACACTCTTAATAAATTAAATTAACATTCATACAAGTTTTACTTCAAATTCATAAAAAAAAATTATCAAATGAGCACAAAAGGTGGGAACATCTGTTAATTTTTCAGGTGTACACATTATCAGATAGGCTAATGTCTTTTCCTGGCTTATATGACGGCCTACTACTAATTTTAAATATGGCTAAATAAATAATGATCAGTAGTGTACGTTTTTTTTTTAGTTAGTGTAAGAAATTATTGCCTTCATTCAGAAAGGACACATTGAATTGATCAAAAGTGACAGTAAAGACATGTATAATGTTATAAAATATTTCCTTTTTAAATAAATGCTGTTCTTTTGAAATCTATTCGTAAAACAATACTGAAAAAAGTATCACGGTTTTCATAAAAATATGACGCAGCACTACTGTTTTCAACATTGATCATAAGTAATGTTTGTTGATCATCAAATCAGCCTATTAGTATGATTTCTGAAGGATCATGTGACACTGAAGACTGGGGTAATGATGCTAAAAATTCAGCTTTGCATCACAAAAATAAATGACATTTTACAATATATTCAAGTATAAAACACACTGTAAAAACAAATCCGTAAAATTTACGGTAAAAAAACGGCAGCTGTGGTTGCCGGAATTTTACCGTAAAAAATACGGTAGCAACGTTTTAGGTTTTACGGTTTTAACTTAAATTTACAGTTAAATACCGTAATTTCATTAACTGATATAATGTTAATATACCAACCTTTTGAAGTGCTGAAATCTGTTTTGTACCTTTGTCTACAGTGCAGTTAATGTGAATTGTAATAATATTTCACATTATTACTGTTTTTTTACTGCATTTTTGATAAAAGAAAATGCAGCCTTGGAGAGCATAATAGACTTCTTTCCAAAACGTTTAACATCTTACAGACTTCAGACTTTTGTGTATGTTTTAACCCAACACGACTATAAATAATATGACTAATTTGTTCTAAATGCCATGAATAATGTTAATTCAAATGTCGATATTTGATGTCAGATTATTTCAGTATTGTTCAACCTAGTATACCGCTTCATTTATATTATTTTCTCTCGACCTCTGCAAAGATTATGTTTGCTATCTCTGTCCATAACTCATGTCTGCGGTAGTGTGTAATGACTCGTCTGTACTGCATAGTCCTGGACAGGAGGCTGACTCATTATCACCGCTGATTCAGAACCTGCAGCCGTTACTCACTTTCACTGCTTGACATTTCAGAGCTCTGATATCTCATGTCTGATCTTTTGTATTATTATGGCGAAAGGGGATGTTGGGGTGTTGGTAGCCGAATGGGTAAGATGCTACACTGCAAATATAAAGGTTGCAATAGGTGCAATTGAAGAACTGAGTCCTTAGAGACTTTCCTTGCAAGTCGTTTTGGATAAAAACCTCAGCTAAATTACAAGTAACAAGGTAGCTGCACTCCTCCTTACTTATTTTCTATAGAGACCAAGGTTCCTCAAGCAAAACTGGGTCACAGATTGTTTTATCTTCCAATTGACTGGAAGAACTTGTATTCAGTTCTGGTTTCAGCTTTATCTTTCTATCTTACCCTATTTTTCACTTAAGCATTATATTCAGTATCAGGTGCAAAAACAAGCTTTTATAATGGCAGTTTATCTGTGTTGGGATCTTTGGCGAAGGTCTTGAGTGTTGCTTGTTGTGTAAGTCGCTTGTTGTTTTCTTCTCTGGACTTTCTAATGAGACCCACATGTGGGAGTGAATTGGAAATGGTGACCCCGTTTGGTTAAATAATAATATCGTCAGTAGTGGACAGACAATGGCTTGGATGGCAGTGCTAGAGCTAGATCTGAAAGTCTGACCCATATTGTCGTAGTCCATATCACTCCCTGCATAAATAAAGAACTATAAATTAGGCTATTAAAGGCATACTTTAAAGGGGTCATATGATGCTTTTTTTAAAGATCATTATTTTGTGTATTTGGTGTAACAGAATATGTTGACATGCTTTAATGTTCAAAAAACACATTATTTTTCAAATACTGTACATTATTGTAGGTCCTCTATGCCCCGCCTCTCTCAAACGCTTCGTTTTCTACAAAGCCCCCTCCTTTGACAAGCGCAGTCTGCTCTGATTGGCCAGCTGACCCAGTGCACTGTGATTGGCCGAACACCATTTGGATTTCAGCGTACCTGAAATTGTTTTCTTTTGTGTTCCACAGAAGACAGAGTCAAACAGGTTTGGAACAACATGAGGGTATGAACGTGATGACAGAACATTTGTTTTTGGATGAACTGTACATTTAATTATGTTTCTGGTTGGTTTCAGGAGTTTTTAGTTGTTAATATGTGACCCTGGACCACAAAACCAGTCTTAAGTCGCTGGGGTATATTTGTAGCAATAGCCAGAAATACATTGTTTGGGTCAAAATTAGTGATTTTTCTTTTATGCCAAAAATCATTAGGATATTAAGTAAAGATCATGTTCCATGAAGATATTTTGTAAATTTCCTACCATAAATATATCAAAACTTAATTTTTGATTAGTAATATGCATTGCAAAGAACTTCATTTGGATAACTTTAAAGGCGATTTTCTCAATATTTTGATTTTTTTTGCACCCTCAGATTCCAGATTTTCAAATAGTTGTATCTCTGCCAAATATTGTCCGATCCTAACAAACCATACATCAATGGAAAGATTATTTATTCAGCTTTCAGATGATATATAAATCTCAATTTCGAAAAATTGACCCTTATGACTGGTTTTGTGGTCCACATATGAGACGGTGTCAAATCACTATTATAGTTTTCTGGCGTTTATTTCATATTTGTTTGCATTCAAGTCATCTCTTTGCTAGTGTACTCCTAAACAATGACAAAATTACCTTTTATGTGCAGTTAAAATGTATAGTTTTTCTTTTCTGGGACAACTGACCAAAAATATCGATAATGCATCTTGTATTCATATTTTCTAGAATTTATCTAACATCAAATTCCACAGCATTAATAGAAGTAGTAGTAATAATATAAATTATTATTTATATATATATATATATATTTATTTGGAGGGGGATGTATACACATTTTCTAGCATTTATCTAGCAAGTAATACCACATCATTATTATTATTTTTATTATTGTTGTTATTGTAAAATAATATTTATTTATGATTTAGGTGGTGTGTACATTTTTTCTAGCATCTAATACCGCCCAATTTTTATTATTATTCAGTTCAGTTGCATTTTATTTGTATAGAACTTTTCGCAATACAAATTGCTACAAAGTAGCTTCACAAAAATATTACACACACATATATATAAATACGTAAATTTATAATAAAAAATGAAGTGCCATGCACTTTTGTGTTCATGGTTCTCACTTCATGTTTGCTGTTAGCAACTCTTTGTGGTTTATCACTCAGCAAAAGAAACTCTTTGAGATCATATTGACACTTACAGTAGAATTTGACGACATGGACATGCATAGACATGCAGTGATATTAGACATAGAGAAAATCGCTATGCTTGATACCGAGTCAGTTTTCACACGTCTTGGAGCCGCTGTTTCATTTGGCATGCAGCACTTTGCCGTTAACCTTAATATTTAAATACAGCATCCACCCACACACCTCAGGCCCTCTCACAGACAATGGCCACTTCTCTGCTTCCCAGAGCTTTTTCTTCTTTGTCTCTCACCACTGCATTTTTTATTTGCGTTGGTGCGACCTCTTACGCAATTGCCGAGAGTGGGAAGACTAGTTTCTTCTCCTTGTTAAAATTAACCTCTTTTTATGTATGAATATCAGCAATTGACAAACCTGTGATGGAGTCAAG